CGGGGGGCGGCAAGTTCTCCTGCCCGCGGGCCCTTAAGGTGCCCGCCTACCTCAACTACCGCTTCCTGGGCGAGAAGGACTGCGGCGCCCCCTGCGAGCCCGGCCGCCTCTATGGGCTCATGTACTTCGGGCCCGAGGAGCTGCGCTTTGCCCGCACCTGGATCGGCATCTGGTCGGTGCTGTGCTGCGCCTCCACGCTCTTCACCGTGCTCACCTACCTGGTGGACATGAAGCGCTTCAGCTACCCGGAGCGGCCCATCATCTTCCTGTCGGGCTGCTACACAGCCGTGGCCGTGGCCTACATTGCCGGCTTCCTGCTGGAGGAGCACGTGGTGTGCAATGAGCGCTTCGCTGAGGACGGCTCGCGCACGGTGGCGCAGGGCACCAAACGCGAGGGCTGCACCATCCTCTTCATGATGCTCTACTTCTTCGGCATGGCCAGCTCCATCTGGTGGGTCATCCTCTCGCTCACCTGGTTCCTGGCGGCTGGCATGAAGTGGGGCCACGAGGCCATCGAGGCCAACTCACAGTACTTCCACCTGGCCGCCTGGGCTGTGCCGGCCATCAAGACCATCACCATACTGGCCTTGGGGCAGGTGGATGGTGACGTGCTCAGCGGTGTCTGCTTTGTGGGCATCAATAACGTAGATGCCCTGCGCGGCTTCGTGCTGGCCCCCTTGTTCGTCTACCTGTTCATCGGCACCTCCTTCCTGCTGGCCGGCTTTGTGTCGCTCTTCCTTTGTGTCGCTCTTCTGCATCCGGACCATCATGAAGCATGATGGCACCAAGACAGAGAAGCTGGAGAAGCTGATGGTGAGGATTGGGATCTTCAGTGTCCTCTACACGGTGCCTGCCACCATCGTCATCGCCTGCTATTTTTATGAGCAAGCCTTTAGGGAACAGTGGGAAAGGAGCTGGGTCACCCAGAGCTGTAAGAGCTATGCCATTCCCTGCCCCAACAACCACAGCAGCCACCACCCACCCATGAGTCCTGACTTCACTGTCTTCATGATCAAGTATCTCATGACCTTAATCGTGGGCATCACCTCAGGCTTCTGGATCTGGTCTGGGAAAACGCTCAATTCCTGGAGGAAGTTCTATACTAGACTCACCAACAGCAAGCAGGGGGAAACCACTGTGTGAAGCCCAGCCCCACCCAGCTGAGGGAAACCTTTTGCCTCAAAGGTGGGTGAGGGACCTGTATCCAGCTCGCCATGTGGCCACCATTCTAGCTGGGACGGGGGGAAATGCTTGCACAACAGTCAGACTTTCTGGACTGCTAACGGCATCTCCAGCCTGCAGGGAACTGTGAGAGAACAGAGGCAGGTGGGGAAACTCCTAAGCTGGGACAGACTCTCTCTTTCTGTTTCTCCCTCTCTCTCTCTTTTTCTGTCTCCTATTGGAACTGAACACACTGTGTCCTTTGGGGAGAGGATTGTAAATAGTCTCTGTAAGATTTTGTAAGTATATTTGTACTGTATTTAAATTGCAAAGATCTCTCACTTTTTTTAATTATTTAGGACATTTTAAAGCCATTTACAGATATCCCCCCCCCCCCCCAACCCCCCCCCCCACACACACTTTAAAAAAAAAAAACTGGTATTGGATTTTATTTTCTAGTGCAGGATTGAATTTTTTATTTTTTTTTTTTTAAACCAAAACAGATCCCTCTCTTCTCCCCCAGACAGGTTGACTGATTTGCTTGGAGTTTTAGTTGCATGAACAGCAGGGCCTGCACTGAGGTTGCTGCAGCTGTGCAAAGGCTCCTCCTGACCCAGGCAATGTCCTGATCCCAACCTCCTACCTAGGTATGGGGAGGTGGAGAAGATCACCTGTCATGATCCTGCCCCACATGCAGGGACAGGTTGTCTGTCCCTTATCAATTGTGTCTTGAGGGAAGAGAAGAGAAAGCAGCAATTTGCTGCCTCTACCAGCTCTGCATGGTAGAAGAGAGGATGAGAGCAGAGGAGCTGATCCCTGCTGCCCACAAATAACTGTATGGTCTCCTTGTCTTGCTGTCTCCCCAAAGACATTCAATACCAGTCACCCAACTGCCAGGGGAAGGGGCGGAAGAAGTGGGAGGACCATTTTGGTTCCGTCCCAAACCGTGCCTCACCTCTGGGGCCACAGGAGCAGAATAAACAACTTTCTGCCAAGGTTTTGGATTAGATGTGTGTTTGGAGGGGGGAGGGGGTTGGCTGCCTTCTGGTTTTGTTTTTTTTGGGGGGGGGGGGGG